AGGATCGCCTATCGCGACCTCTGCCTGGATCCTGCTGGGGAATGCAGACAGGGAGGTCAACAGGAGATCAAGCCGGGTGCCTGGAGAGTGGCCAGTTTCTCCTGATAAAGGCTTGAATCTCAACAAGTTCAGCAATATGGAAGTATTCCATCATTTTAGATAGCCAGTCTGTTTTAGTTGGGACGTTGCTGCTTTTCCAATTTTTGGCAATCAGTAACCTTGCCGTCATAAGCGCATACATAAATTTTGGTCTGACTGTTCTTTTTATTTCCTCTGACATGATACCTAGGAGAAAGGATTCCAGGGTTTTTTCAAACGAAAATCTAAACATCTTTTTCAATTCGTTATAGATATTTTCCCAGAATTCCACTATCTCTTTGTACTCCCACCACATGTGTAGAAAGGTTCCTGTCCCGTTGTTGCATCTCCAACAGACATCACTACAGTTTTTATACATTTTTGCTGGTCTGACCAGGATCAGGTACCCTCTGTATTGCATTTTCATTACATTCTCTCTTAAATGATAGCATGCCGTAAATTTTATATCTCTTTTCCACAGCCGTTCCCATTGACTCATCATAATATTTTCCCCTAAATCCCGAGCCCACTTTACCATCACTGTCTTCACTTGCTCCTCTTTTACCTCCAATTCTAGGAGCAAATCACATAATTTGGAAATATGTTTACTTTTAGATTGGATTAAGTACTCATCCAGTCTTGAAATTTCTTTCTCAAATCCTTTTTGTTTATCTTTGGCCAGTCTCTGATTAATTTGAAAATATTGCAGCCAATCGTTCAAATATTTGTTAACTTCCTTATATTCTTTCAATTTAAGTTTGTTGTTTTCCTCTTCCAATAATACCTTATATGTTGCCCAATTGTTATTCATATTCTTTCTCTTTACGGTCATGATTTCTAAGGGTGAGGTCCACCAAGGTGTTTTGGGTTCTACGATCTCTTTATATTTCATCCATATTTTATACAGTGATTTCCTTATAATATGGTCCATAAAACCCTTGTGGACTCTCACCTTTTCATCTTTTAGGTATGCATGCAATCCAAATCGAGTGCCTACCCCCTCTAGATCAGTATCCTTTAATTTACGTAATCCACTCCCTTAACCAGGTCAGACCTGCTGTAGCATGATATACCGTAATTCCAGGTCAGGTAGGCCAAATCAGCCTCTCTTTCTCCGATCAATTTATAATTTATTCTAGGTTTTTCCCAATTCCATACAAACCCGGCTAGATCTCTTTTCCACTTCTTAAAGCAATCCATACCTCCTAGAATCAGCATGGTTTGGAATAGAAATATCATTCTAGGTAATATATTCGTCTTTACTGTTGAGATACAGCCCCAAAATGATAAATGTAGCCTATTCCTAGTTTCTAAATTTCTCTTTATCTCCTTCCATACTTAAAGTTGAAATAGGTCTATATTTTTTGTTGTCATCCATATGCCGAGATATTTCACCCTTTTTTTTATCTCCAACCCTGAGATTTTTTGTAGTTCACTTTTTTCTTGATTCCCCATATTTTTAACTAATAGATTTGGGGTTTTTTTAATAGTTTATTTTAAAGCCAGCTAGGTGTCCAGATTCATTTACACATTCTATTGCTCTTGGGATACATTCTGTCAGGTTTTCAGTAGTGATGATCAAGTCGTTTACCAATGTTTAATTGTTTTTTAATGATTGTTCTCCCTCCTATGTTCTTATATATTCTTATTTTCTCTCTCTCTCACACACACACTTTTTAAAATTTTCTGCTTTACAGTTTAGAATACATTTAAAAGGTAAAGGGACCCCTGACCATTAGGTCCAGTCGTGGCCGACTCTGGGGTTGCGGCGCTCATCTCGCTTTACTGGCCGAGGGAGCCGGCGTACAGCTTCCGGGTCATGTGGCCAGCATGACTAAGCCGCTTCTGGCGAACCAGAGCAGCACACAGAAACATCGTTTACCTTCCCGCCAGAGCGGTACCTATTTATCTACTTGCACTTTGATGTGCTTTCGAACTGCTAGGTTGGCAGGAGCAGGGACCGAGCAACGGGAGCTCACCCCGTCGCGGGGATTCGAACCCCTTGCTTATGATCAGCAAGTCCTAGGCTCTGTGGTTTAACCCACAGCGCCACCCGCGTCCCTACAGAATACATTTAAGCAACCTTAAAATATCAGTGACTTTCCTTCTTCTCTTTCCATGGTTCATTTTGCGTATCGTAAATCCCTGGATATTTGACATAAACTAAACCGTTCAGTATTCCATTATAACATCCATCAAAACTTATTTACACTGCTGAATTTATCTTAATATTGCCAACGTTTTCAAGTTAGTTATTCTTATTTTCATTTGTAAGCTGTCCTGAGTTCCTGTCAGGGGTAAAAGTGGGGTGTTATAAATATATGATGATGATGATGATCACCACTTAGTGATTATAGTTCAATATAGGTCAACAGTAAGAATGCAGCAGCATTATATATGTTTGTTTTTCATGCAAGCCTCTTTTTTAAAAAAAACAAACAAAACAAAACAAAAGAAACCCAACTCCAATACATATGAAAAAAGACAGGCTGAAAAGTATGTTGAGAAAATATGAATAATTTTAAGTGCACAACTCATAGGCTGTGGCACTGTGCTGAACTCCTCATACTATCTAAGAGAAAGGCTTCTGGATCATAATATTTGCTTCTTGTTACTGCTGTAATTTATATAGTTCATCTTATGCTGGGGGCTATCACTTGACTTTGCATTATTGCATGATGGTGGAGGTGATGAAACTTACAGGGGAAACAGAACCTGCTGCTATAACAAACTCAGACAGGAATGCACACAGTACTGTCACTAAATTGATAGTTAAAAGTCCTGCATTTCTAGAGTCTTAAAAGGCATCTGAAAGTCATTAATCAGCCTAATTTATAGTTGTGCAAAGTTTACTGCGTATTAGGAGCATAGGGCTGGAACCAATCAAGTTCTACTCAAAGTAGACTCATTTAAGTTAAGTGGCCTACTCTAAGTAAGACCAGTGTTAGCCACAACCCATTTGGTCCCAGGCAAAACAGATTTCAAAATAACTTCCCAAATAATAACTTAAAATTTAACAACGGCAAAAATAGCAGATTATTATATATGAAAACACAGGTCTCAAGAAGTTAAGAAGGAAACACAGAAACATACTAAGGCTGTAATGTAAGTAGAGATAGAAAGTAGGTTGGGTTCTAGGAAAAAGCATTAGCTGCTTTCTAAAAAAAAGTGTTATGAAACTGTTCCTAAAAGGAGGAGGAGGGTTGGTGATCGTGCAAGCACCAGACAATCAGCGCTGATGTCTCCTGTAACTTGTAGAGCTGGTGTTCGCTGAGGTCAGCCAAAAGAAGAAAACCATTTCATACCCGCCAACATTTATCCGATGAAAATAAGGACGTCCTATTCCATAATAGTAATTTTACTATTTATACCTCACCCATCTGATTGAGTTGCCCCAGCCACTCTGGGCAGCTTCCAACATATATAAAAACATATATAAACTTCCCTATACGGGGCTGCCTTCAGATGGCTTTATACCCGCCAACATTTCTCTGATGAAAATAAGGACAGCCTACCATACGTTCCAATGTTTCTCTGATTAAAATAGGGATGTCCTAAGGAAAAGCAGGACATTCCAGTATCAATCAGCAACCGGGAGCCAGTGTGGTGTAGTGGTTAAGAGCAGTGGAGTTGTAATCTAGTGAACCGGGTTCGTGTCTCCGCTCCTCCACATGCAGTTGCCGGGTGACCTTGGGCTAGTCACACTTCTCTGAAGTCTTGTTTGCAGTGGGACGACAGGTGATTTATATCTGATTAGGTAAGCCTAGGGTTGTGTCATAAGGCTGCAATCCTATACAGTGGTACCTCGGGTTACATACGCTTCAGGTTACAGACTCCGCTAACCCAGAAATAGTACCTCAGGTTAAGAACTTTGCTTCAGGATGAGAACAGAAATCATGCTCCGGCGGCACGGCAGCAGCGGGAAGCCCCATTAGCTAAAGTGGTGCTTCAGGCTAGGAACAGTTTCAGGTTAAGAACGGACCTCTGGAACGAATTAAGTACTTAACCTGAGGTACCACTGTACACACTTGCCTGAGAGTAAGTCCTATAGAGTTCAGAGGAACTAAACGTGCATAGGATTGCATTTGGGGTATTGTTTAGCTTCTTCCTTTTTTGTTATTTTTGCCCTCATTGTCTCAATTGTTTTTATGAGTTTCAGTTAACAAGGCTCAAGGATGTGGGCATAGTGCTTGGATCAGTCAGGGTGACCCCTTGCGCTCTGGACCCTTGCCCATCATGGCTGATAGCAGGGAGAGGACAGCTGGCTGGGGCAGGGAAGTATACCTGAAGGAGCGCCTCCACCCCCATCATTCAGCCCAGACACTGAGGGCCTTCTAGTAGTTCCCTCACTGCGAGAAGTGAGGTTACGGGGAACCAGGCAGAGGGCCTTCTCGGTGGTGGCACCCACCCTGCGGAATGCCCTCCCATCAGATGTCAAGGAAATAAACAACTACCTGACTTTTAGAAGACATCTGAAGGCAGCCCTGTATGGGGAAGTTTTTAATGTTTGACATTTTATTATGTTTTTATATGTGTTGGAAGCCACACAGAGTGGCTGGAAAAAACCAGCCAGATGGTTAGGGTATGTATGTATGTATGTATGTATGTATGTATGTATAAATGCCTCCTTGCGAGGAGGGTGGTCCTTGCCTGCTTGAAGGAGGTTGTAGGAAAACCACTCCTCAAGAAACCCTCCCTGAATTTGGAAAATTTGGAAAAGCCAGTTGCTAATCTCCCTTTCTTGGGCAAAGTTCTTGAGCGGGTGGTCGTGGACCAGATCCGGGATCTCAATCTCGCCTTCTGGATTTGTCCGCCAGCAAATTCAGCCGTGTGCTTTATCTCCCGAACCTTAGGTCTGCAGTATCGCACAGAGAACGAGGTTGCCAAGCAATTGTTGGAGCTGAGTAAGACTAAGGGCTTGGGCAAGATACCTTTCCTTCCTTTGACTGTAAAGGAGGTAGAAGAAACCGTGGCACTCTCCCTATACCACGTTCCCAAAAATGTAAACAAACAGGTAAAGAAGCAGCTGTCTGCAGTTGGTAGTTCTCTGAGCTAAATATCTCTGCAGCCCTTTCTCCCTTCCCTGAACTGTTTTGTTGTCATAGTCAGAAAAGCCACAGGCTGAAATCCAAAAGGGAGAGTAAATAGGAAGGGCGACCAGGGGGCGCATGCTGAGACTGGTGGCATTTGAGTTGAATGCCCAGCAGAAGCCAAACTGAATACAGAGTCCCTGCTGGCGGAGCATGCTTCACCCTGGATACCATCAAACTTAGACTCCAGGTTTTGGAAAATAAAAAAGCTAACGTTTACTGTTGGAAATACACGTTTGCTAGAATAAGGATCTTAGATGGAGATACAATAAGCCATGCTTGGATCTCCCAAGTATGTCTGCTATCATTAAGGAGGCCTGGAGAAGGAGGAAAGGAAGGTCAGCAACCCTAAGATTATCAGTCTAATCTGAAGATCAGCACGTCAGGTGAAGGAAGACAAGTCTAGGAAGCTTGGAGGTTTTTCTGGCTGGGGCTGATAGATGTTGAATTCTCTTGTTTTTTTTTTAAAAAATAATATTTATTAATTTTCCAACCGTTTAAACACAAAAAAAGGAAAAAAACAAAACAAAAACAAAAAAACATAAGACTAACAGAACGAGACACAAATCATTTAAAACACAAAACAATTTCAATATCTTATCTTTCATTCCCTTATTTCCATGACCTCCTCACACCTCCCTTTTTGTATTCCACTTCTGTTAATTGTTTCAGCAATTCCTTTCCATCTTCCTCTGTTTTCTATCCTATAATTATCTTAACATATTCTAACCTTATTTTTCCCTTTAATACTCTATTAATCTATTTATACTTGATTCCTTATAGCATTTCTACTAAAGCCATATAACTTCATTCCAACATTTTTCTAACATTCATTATTTTTACAGTATTTCTATAAATAGTCTTAAACTTTTTCCAGTCTTCTTCCACCGACTCTTCTCCCTGGTCTCGGATTTCTGCCAGTCATTTCCGCCAATTCCATATAGTCCATCAACTTCATCTGCCATTCTTCCCGAATAGATAAGTCTTGTGTCTTCCAGTACTTCACAATGAGTATTCTTGCTGCTATTGTTGCATACGTGAAAAAAGTTCTATCCTTCTTTAACACCAATTGGCCGACCATGCCCAGGAGGAAGGCCTCTGGTTTCTTCAAAAGGGTATATTTAAATACCTTTTCATTTCGTTATGAATCATCTCCCAAAGTGTCTTAATCCTTGGGCATGTCCACCAAAGGTGAACTCTAATCCTCAGATTCGTCTGCTTTTCTTTAAGTTCAGTCATAGCAAGCGTCAACTTATGTTCATCAAATTGCCTCTGTAGGGCTGGGGCTCTCTTTCTCTTTCTCTCCAGTTGTGTTACTTTACATTCAGCAACAACAGCTTTTTCCCTGGCTTCCTCCGCAGTTTGCCGTATCAAAGTAGGTTCCTGTATCAATTTCTGGGTGGTTTCTGTATTGGTATTATTTATACTTTCTGTACTTTCTGTATTTAAGTTAATTTTAGTAATTGAAACATCCACTTTCGCATTTATCGTGTCCATTTTCCTGTTAAGCTGATCCAGTGAGTCATTTATCTTATATAATGCAACCACTAAAGCCTCTTCTGTCGACATTCCTCTTGGTTTTAAATATACTGGTACAAAGGCAGCGACAGAAGGAGCAGGGGGGCCTGATGATGGACCTCTCCTGGATTATTGCCAAGTCCTCCCAGACCTTAATGTTTTGTCAGCAGTTGACTGGTCTGTTTTTCCTCTTCCATTTACCATAACACTTAAAAGATTCAAGGTCAGTCCCAGAGTCTCACGGTTTTTAACTTGCAGCTGGAAATTCCCCTAGCCCAGCTCTTGTAAAGCAACCGGTTTCAAAGGCTTCCACTAGGGGGAAACAGTTTCTATTTGTAATAGTCAATAGTATCCTCTTTTAAACAATCCAAAATTAGTTTCAAATTAGTTTCAATTTTCAGTTACTTTTACTCCTTTTTAAAGCAGCTGGAGACAGTAGAAACAATGTATTTCTCTTGTTTAACTAGCTGTCAATAAACGTTCTAAACGCTGTCAATGAACATTCCAAAAGACGTCAGTCCTGCTAGCAGCCCGTTTCCAGGGTCAGAGCGGCGGTGTTTTAAATCTCTTCGCTCTCTCCCACAGGCATACTCAATCCGCAACTTCCCCTCTCTTCTCCTGCCTCCAAGAGGGGTTTAATGTTCTTTACCGATGGAAATTTAATCTTTTACAAAAGGCTTTCCAGGACTCCAGCTTGCAACTTCATTGCCTCAGTCTATTTACAAAAGGGGAAGGCGGACTTCCTGTTTTGAACCTCCCTGTTACAGTACCAAATTAAACATTTAGAAATACAATTCTTCCGCTTCAGCTCTACTCACGGGTAATTACTTTAAAGTCAAATTGTCCACAGGAAAAGGTCAGCGCTCTCCGGCAACAGCTATGCGGCTTCACTCCGTGGAAGAAGCAGATGATGCACCGCACCGCTCACCCCACGTCACTCTGGAGCCCCAAAAACCGGGGTTCCCCGTGAGTGGGGGAGGCGCAAAAGGTGCCCGCCGAATCCCACGCTCACAGGCTTCTCCCGCCTGTGATTTTAACGGGTCTCCGCCTTCGCCGTGGCGGCCAGACCCAGATTCCCATGGAGCAGATTCCTCCCGGTCAGAGGAATTACCGGAGGCACCTCCCCGGAAGTAGTCTAGATGTTGAATTCTCAACCCCTGATTTACACACTGCAAGTTCATACTAAGTGAACTATCGTTTAACTGCCTGTCATGTGTGTTAGGTTGTGGGCGAACATATCAGACGACACAGCGATTCTTCCAAAGCAGCTCTTTATTTGTAAGCTGGAACAGGACTGAACTGAGGAGCTCAGTCAGCCTGCTTATATAGAGCTCCACTAGAATGCAACAGTAACCATTTTCTGTAACTAGCCAATCACTGAACATCACTTTCGATCCTTCATTTGCATACAAACTATCCAATCACTGAACGACACTTTCGATCCTTCATTTGCATAACTATCTACAGTATCCCCCTGCTGGCCCAGGGTGAGAACTTCAGTACATAACAATGTGCTTCCTGTGACTCTGACATCTCTTTGTTTTCCCTCCATAGTTCATACAGGGATTTCTGGACTATCAGATTCCACATTACGCAATATTAAAAAAATGTAAGTGCAACAGTGACCAAAAAAAGGCTTCTAGTGAGATAACTCCAAATATGCAATTGCAGCCAGTCACAGCTCTTTGACTTGCATACCTGACTGACATACATGTTGATGTTTCTCATATTCACATCTTAAAAGTAATTTCACATAACTAAATAGCGAAGCCTCCTCAGAGACTTCTTCCCACTATTAGAGAAATACTATGTTATCTTCAGCTCTGTTGTCGTGAATGAATCACACCAGTAATGATGCCAAAATGTATAGTTTATTGGTTCAGAATAACTCCACAACTCCACAACTCATAACACTTGTCCATAAAGCCAGTGTGGTGTAGTAGTTAAGAGCGGTGGACCCATAATCTGGTGAACCGGGTTTGATTCCCCGCTCCTCCACATGCAGCTGCTGGGTGACCTTGGGCTAGTCACACTTGAAGTCTCGCAGCCCCACTCACCTCACAGAGTGTTTGTTGTGGGGAAGGAAGGGAAAAGGAGATTGTTAGCCACTTGGAGACTCCTTAGGATAGTGTTAAAGCGGGATATCAAATCCAAACTCTCTCTCTCTAACTTGTTTCCAAACAGAGGGCCTTCTTGGTAGTGGCGCCCTCTCTTCAGATGTGAAGGAAATAAGCAGCTTTCCTATCTTTAAAAGACATCTGAAGGCGGATTTGTTTAGGGAAGTTTTTAATATTTAATATTTAACACTCGATTGGGAGCCGCCCAGAGTGGCTGGGGAAACTCAGCCAGATGGGCGGGGTATAAATAAATTATTATTATTATTACTATTATTATTATTATTATTATCGTTATCTTTAAGTCCTTCTCAGGATGGATTTTAATTAAATTTGAGGAAAAGCTACCCATATTCCCACCCACCATCCCACTTACCTGCTTAGGGTGGTGGGGGCATGGCAGGAATGGAGGTCTCTCTCACACAAACCCTCACCTTTCTCTCTCCTCCCCTTTAAGTTCCACCACAGCAGGAGCAAATCCAGCTTTGGTAGGGTCCTTAGGATCTGATTGGGATGCTGCCCAGGGGCTGGATCTATACTAATCTAAAAAAAAACGCTAAGAATTTTTTTTTATATAGCTCTCAATGCAAGCTTCCATTGCAGGCTTCCTCAACCTCGGCCCTACAAATGTTTTTGGCCTACAACTCCCATGACCCCTAGCTAGCAGGACCAGTGGTCAGGGATGACAGGAATTGTAGTCTCAAAACATCTGGAGGGCCGAGGTTGAGGAAGCCTGGTCCATTGACTGCTGTGCAGCGCCCCCTGGTGTCACATTTTTGTAATGCATTTATAACATTATACGGTAACTCACAAATATAGATTAGTCCAAAGTCCCTCTTACAGGCCTGTCTCTGGAGGTAAGCCACTTAGCTGCTCCACTGAGTCTCCTCAAAATGCCCGCTGCCTCCACCTGACTAATAAAGAGGAATGGGACTCTCCTTTTACAATACTACTCAGGTACATCCACCCTGATACATGGGGTGAGAGACATTTACCTGAGAACACACCCAGACCACAGCAAAAACAACTATGTTTAATAATAATAATAATAAAATTTTATTTATATCCTGCCCTCCTCAGCCGAAGCCGGGCTCAGAGCGGCTAACAACAGTAAAAATAACACAGTTTACATAAAATCACAATCAATTAATTGAAATACATTCTAAAATCAATTCAGAGTCAAATTAATGGCAACCATTGGGCTAGAGTTCTATGAGGATTGCAGAAGGAGAGAGGGGGTCAGACTGTTCCCTGGCCAAAGGCCTGGTGGAACAGCTCTGTCTTGCAGGCCCTGAGGAAAGATGTCAAGTCTATAAGGGCTATAACTTCTGGATCCAGCAGCCACTATATACAGAGTCCTTCTAGTTTCCAGACAGCAGTACCATCTCTTTTAGATATATACTGTGCTTTCATGTCTTCCTCATACTCCTCCCTGCCCCACAAGCCTCTCTATCCCCCACAGTCTGTCATTTTCCAATGGACTCTGTCTCTCTCTGCCTGTCACTCAAACTCCTCCCAACATTCCATTCTGCTGGCCCCTACTGTCCATCATTCTTCTAGCAGCTGTCCTGCCACAGGTGGTTTTCCAGAGTTCTGGCATCAAGGACCCTGGAAATCGCTGGCTTCTCAATGTTCCCTGGCACCTTGACAGAGCCAGGTTTCTTCCAGGTGCTGGCGAAAGCGAGAGGAAGTGGTTACAGTGAGCCGCCCTGCGGCTTAACATGGCATGCGAACTAGGCCAATGGATGCAGTTATCTCTGCAGTATTTGTGGCACACCCTTTCTGAACAGCTTTAGATGTTTTAATAGACATTTTATTCGTTTTATTTTGAAGTGTCAATCATAACGACAATGAGAATAAGGCATAGCTGTCAAGCATCCCTTATTTGGCGGGACAGTCCCTTATCCCAGCGCCATGTCCCGCTGCTGTCCCTTATTGATGATATCCCTTAAATAAGTTACTGAAGGTAATGGGGCCCTTTCTATGTCCAGCTGTCCTTTGTCAACAACAAATTGTTGCTGTTTTTTGTGTTGAATATATGCTATATGGTAATTTATGGACCTAATAGGTATCTAAAACCATTTGCACGCAACAAAATACAGTGGTGCCCCGCAAGACGAATGCCTCGCAAGACGGAAAACCCGCTAGACGAAAGGGTTTTACGTTTTTGAGTTGCTTCGCAGGACGAATTTCCCTATGGGCTTGCTTCGCAAGACGAAAATGTCTTGCGAGTCTTGAGATTTTTTCCTGCTTCCCCCCCTTTTTTCTAAGCCGCTAAGCCGCTAATAGCCTTTTAGCAGCTAAGCCGCTAAGCCTTTAATAGCCGCTAAACCGCTAATAGCGCTAATCCGCTAAGCCGCTAATAGGGTTGCTTCGCAAGACGAAAAAACCGCTAGACGAAGAGACTCGCGGAACGGATTAATTTCGTCTTGCGAGGCACCACTGTATGTATTTTATCAAAGTAATTGTTGATCCCTTATTTTGGCTGCTGATCCCTTATTTTCGAGGCTGCTGGTCCCTTATTTTCAAATCTGTAAGTTGACAGCTATGGAATAAGGACGAGGGTGCACTAGGTTGCGAAACAGGCACACACCTTAGGAAGCAAAGGGTTGTATTCGGCTAAGATATATTCAGAGCAGACCCACTGAAATCAATGAACCCGAATTAGTCCATTTCAATGGGTCTGCTCTGAGTAGGACAAATGTAAGAGGCAACCCAAAAATGTGCAGAGCAAAATGTGATGACAGAAAGAAGTCTAATTTTGCTTTTTTTTACTGGGAAAGGTTTGCTGGACTGTATCTCTGAGGAGTCCAGGTACACCCTTCATGACAACATGAGCAAGTTCAAGGCTCCCACACAGATTATTTGGGGAATGCACGACAAGGTTAGTGTGTGTGTGTGTGTGTGTGTGTGTGTGTGTGTGTGCACACGCACGCGCTCTGCTTTCTTTTGCTGTGCTAATGGCTGGGTGCAGATTAAGCCAACAATCACTTTTAGTCCTAGCTGATATTCTGAATTACTCCATTGTTACTTTGAACTGTTCTGCGAACTGGTATGCTCCTCATTCAGAAAAGCAGCTAGTACATTCCATAAGCAGCTGAAAGGCAAAGTCCCCAGTCCTGGGGGAGAGAGAGGCTCTACAGGGTGGTACCCAGGTATGGCGCAGGTGCTCATTGGCACTGCTATTGACACACATTCCTTGAATGCACGGAGACCCAGCTATCACTTCCAGAAGGGGCCAGGGCTGGAAAACAAAATTTGAGATATTGTACAAAGAAACACCCACCCACCTTGCGGCTAAAGCCATGTAACAAAAATGAGAGAACCACTCATCAATGGAAGTTTGTTGGTTCCAGAGGGTGTTGCTGTTGGGAGCTAGGGCAGAGAGAGATGCTTAAGAAAATGTCTGGCTGGTGGTGGTTTCAGCCTACCGAGCAGAGATGCAGAAGTCACATTAGAAGTTCTTGTATGGGGGTTGCGGGTGTTGGGATACTGCCAGGGAGACATCATCCATCAAGGCCCCACGTCGATTCCGGACGATCCATCGATCTCCCGTAGACACGCAGTATCATTCAGTTAGCGACACGAGCCCCAGAAATGGCTTCCCACATTCCAGAGCTCTTGCACGCTCTATCAGCAGATAATGCACAGCGAAAGATGCACGCAGGAGAGCATTATTTACAATTTTATTCAGCGTTGGTCAGAACAAAGAAAACATGACTGCCTGCTTCGGTGTCTCAGGCACAGAGAGAGAAACGAAAGCATAGACACAACAGAAACATCCTGTGAACAGGAAATACGCAGACTCTGTGACTCACAAAGCCTGCTCCCTTTTAAGGTGGAACGGAAATATCCTAACAGCGGGTGGCACTGTGGTCTAAACCACTGAGCCTCTTGGGCTTACCAATCAGAAGGTCAGCGGTTCAAATCCCTGCAATGGGGTGAGCTCCCGTTGCTCTGTCGCAGCTTCTGCCAAGGTAAATGGCATTTCCATGCGTTCTGGTTTCCGTCACGGAGTCCCGTTGCACCAGAAGCAGTTCAGTAATGCTGGCCACATGACCCAGAAAGCTGTCTGTGGACAAACGTCGGCTCCCTTGGCTTGAAAGCGAGATGAGTGCCGCAACCCCATAGTCACCTTTGACTGGACTTAACCATCCAGGGGTCATTTACCTTTTACTTTGATGTTCTTGTGTGCTTAATCAGGGTACTTTTCTATGTCAGAGGACAGCATGTTCAGATGCACAAGGAAGAGAGGCAGGAACTCATCAAGTCTGACACTGGCACACAATTCTTCTATCGATTACAGCCCCATCCAGTTGTGCGCCTTGTTATTACAGCAACCTTTCATTAAACGCAGATACAATTGCATAAGTTTGTCATCATGTGGCAGCGAGTCAGCCCAATCAGCATTTTGCTTATATCTTAATCCCTTGTATAAGTTCTTCCAACCCTGGTGCTCTCCAGATGGTTAGGGCTACAGCTCCCATCCACCCCAGCCAGAATGCACCATTGTAGTCCAAACCATCAGGCTGGAGCCTGCTTTATATCTTCCTATATAAAGAAACATGCAAGGCTGTCATCACACAGTCCCCATTGGAGGATTTGTGGTGCTGCAACACAATGCTGGGTTTGGCGTAGGGAAGCCAAAGAGAATGTAGGCTGAACAACACCAGAGGCTACGGCAGGGGAGTGAGATGGGGAAGTGGGTATTTAAAGCAAGAGCTGAAGTTTGAAAGCAGTTTGAAAGCACACCAGTGCGAGTAGAAAAATAGGTACTGCTGCGGCGGGAAGGTAGATGGCATTTCCATGCACTCTGGTTTCCATCATGGTGTTCTGTTGCGCCAGAAGCAGTTCAGTAATGCTGGCCACATGACCCGGAAAGCTGTCTGTGGACAAACGTCGGCTCCCTTGGCCTAAAAGCGAGATGAGCGCTGCAACCCCAATGTGGTGGGAATGGCAAGGGATTAGCGAGCAGAGTGAGTAGGGACACAGCCTGTAGTTTTAAAATAAAGATCATCTTTATCGCCGCAGGAATGCCTGGGAGCAACGCTATGTCACTCTGTCCCAGGAATGTGGCTTGGCTGCTGAGAACAATGTGGGCACCAGACATAAATTTCTTTTCATTTCTTTCAGATCACTGATCCTTCTGGAGGAGAAATTTTAGCTGCCACCATCCCCAACTCCCAACTGCATATGCTGGAGAAATGTGGACACTTCATGATGATGGACAGGCCCAAGAAATCCGCCAAGCTCCTTGTGGAATTCCACAATTCAGTCTGTGGCAAGGTGGAGGCTAAGAAGTCAATATAACCCTCACTAAGGAGTCAAGCAGATGGAGCATTCGAAGCAACTTTCTTGCTCAAATGGACACTGTGGGTGTCTGCCCTGGTCCCCCCCCTCGCTTATTTGCTTTGCCATATAATATTTGGAAGCTGGGATGACTGGCCTGGCCTCCCACAGCTTCTGACAGAGCTTGGAATTTGTATGTTCAGACTGACTTCTTCCTTTGTGCAATTGTAACCTGCAGTAAGGCCAGGGGTAAGAGGGGTGATGTAGAAAAAGAATAGGGTTTGTCTTTTGCTGCCCCGCTCCCCAAGGGACTGAGTCCCCTAAGTCCATGATCGGTCAGAGATGAATGGATGAAGGCAAGGATCCAAAGAAAGGAAGGGAGATCTAAACAGCTCTGTTTAGGGAAGCTTTTAATATTTGATGAATTATTGTATTTTAATATTTTGCTGGAAGCCGCCCAGAATGGCTGGGGAAACCCAGCCATATGGGCGGGGTATAAATAATAAATTATCGTTATTATTCTGTGGCAGCAGAGTTCCCTCCCCTACTCGCAAGGAGGTAGGAGAGACCCCCAACAAAGGTGTGCAAGTCCCTATAAAGACTTTATATGACGTCTGTATAAAGACTTTTGAAATTGCCTACCCCTTAGCTCAAGACCACTCCAAAAACATCAGACATACATCAAAGAAGGAGGCGGGTTTGCACGTTCCAATGACCCTTGGGAGCAAAGCCATCGGGAGTCTCATACTCATAGCAGAGTCACCCAAGACGGTAAGGTCAAAGGGGAGGAGCTAGACAAAGAATGATCCAAGAAGTCCTCAACGGCAGAACAGGCGGATGATAACAAGCGGTATGTTACAACGGCTGTGAAGGCGGATGAAGGCTGCAGTATATAAGAATCTACCGGTTGTCGTGATATTCATGCCATCGGAATAGAGCCTTACTGTGAAGACTGTGCACTGATCTACACACATAAAACAAATTCATGCACAAATGTCTTCCAAAAACCCATCCCAAACACAAAAAGTCCCATTGCGATCATCAAATGGTAACGTGAAATCTGGAAGACCCCTAGTCATGAACCAGCCCATGGGTGGTGGATACAGATCCAGTCGTTCTGACTCAAAAAATGAGGCAGTTGAGTAGCTTGGCAGCTGTATCCATGACTGTGCAGGGCCATTCACAACATAAAAATACAAGAGAAAAAACACTAAATACATAATGATAAAAAAGAGCAAAAGCAAAACAAACCTATTACTTCCCCCTCAACGTGTCTGAGTCTCTCTCCTGTCTCCCCTAAGGCAACTTCTTCCTAAATGCCAAATAATTTCTTTTGCATTCTGTCCCACACAAGTGGCCCTCCAGCCAGAAATTATGAGGGTTGCAGTCACCTAGAAGGCTACAGGTTAACCACCCCTGCCTCTAGGATCTTAACATAAGGATCTGATGGGCAGGCGAAGCTTGACAGGTGAGTGGGGCTCTCCTCCTGTGAATCCCATGTCACAGGGATCTCAGGGGAGCTGCTTTCACCCTGTGCTGATCACCAGGGCTTTGAAGTGCCAACTCCAAAGTGGGAGCTCTGGTTTGTTAAGGGTGTTGCAAGGAGACCCCCTCTTCCCACTCACAGAACTACAATTCCCAGTATTCCCTGAGGTAAGGGGTTGATTGTTTTGAGACTACAATTCCCATCATCCCTGACTACTGGTCCTGCTAGCTAGGGATCATGGGAGTTGTAGGCCAAAAACATCTGGAGGGCCGAGGTTGAGGAAGCCTGGAATAGGGGGTCTCCTAACAACTCACAGCACCTTTAACAAACCACAGTTCCCAGGATTCTTTGAGGAGAAGCCATGATGGCTTGTTGTATCCTAGTGCTTTAAATGTCTACAACAGCTGAGGCCTTCCCTGGATAAGCAATGTGTCCTTCCCTTCACAATACCCAGCGACCATTCACACTCCTGATCATCTCAAATCCATTCACAGGCTTATGTCAAAGCTTGTTGGCATAGCTGCCTAGGCCCTATCTGTGACGTCTCCACCAATATTGTTCTTGTTGGATGTGTGTCTGCAAATTTAGCCTTTTGAGACCTGGATTATTTCGGATTTAAGGATTATTAGAAGAAAGAAGAAGACTGCCGAACAATAAAAGGGGTGGTGGAGGAAATACTGCCGCAAATTGATTACTGCTACCACTGACACAATGGTCCTTCGAGTTCTCATTACATTAATGTGATTCTTATCTTGATTTGCTGGACCTTCTGTTTGGGCATTTGGGTTTACACCATATTTTTGTGCCTATAAAACTTAAGACAAGCAAAACATGATCGTCCACAAAATAGGTTAGGTCACACCTCGAGGGCAGAAGGTTGGTGGTGAAGTCTGGGTTGGGAACTCGTTGTTTATAGAGATGTGGTGGCAGACAAATATGTTTTTGTGTTTAGCAATATCATCAAAGCATGAGAAAGAATCATAGAATCGGAAGGGGCCGTGAGGGTCATTTTGTCCAACCCCCTGCAATGCAGGAATCTTCCACCCAACGTAGCTTGAACCCATAGCTCTGAGATTAAGAATCTCATGCCGTACCAACTGATCTACCCCTCAGGGCTAAGAAAGCAATGGTGCAATATAATTAGAAACTCTTATATCAGAGGTTTGCAAGGGCTGGGAAGGTTGGGTTTGGCTTGAACTCCACAGTTCGCACATTCAGGGTGTTGTAAACAAAATCTGCCCTTTTTCCCTTATGGGGTATCCAAGAGCCCATATAGAGTCCTTACATAGGTTCCCTGTTGGTAGGAGAAAATAACAGAGGCCAACCAGAGAAGCAAAGCAGCTAGTAAGCCTGATCTTTATTGATCTGTTCCAACAGGGTGCTCCCCTCACCCGCAGGAGAGGAGGAGGAACCCAGAACAATGGCGCGCACGGCCTTATAAAGACTTTTGAAATTGCCGCCCTGTAAATCAAGACCACCACCAGAAACATCATACATACATCACAGAAGGGGTGTAACCTAAGACCACCCCCCAGATACATCATACCTACAACACAGAAAAGGCGGTCTAAAACAGAAATTTGAATGTTGTTTTTCCTATTTGCCAGGTTTCCTGATAGTCTGTCACCCATTAAAATGCTGATTACTCAATTCCTGAGACAATGGGAAGGCTCCCTGACCCCACCCCCCTCCTTGCAGGGAAAACCTTTGGTCAGTTTGGAAATCAAAATGGTTTCAGGTCGGCCTTCCTGTGCTGATCTATGCACGTGCTTGGTTGGTACACTTATGAACATTACCATATATCTAAGACCTCAAAATTCCTATCACAAGGGTCATGGAGTCTGTTGGTGTCTGGGTGCAGACAAAAAAATCAAGATGTCTCAAGGCTGCAGAACGCCATATGCAGAACTTGCCAGCATCTCAAATGTGGAGCTCTCTTATGCGGTGAAGCACTGGACTGCAGGCTAATGAAAAACCTTCTGTTCCTAGAACTGAGGTCACATTCACACCACAGAAGTGGTTTCAGGGTAGCGCAACGGGTTCAGCCGCACTGCATGCTGCGCTGCAGGGGGCACCACAACAATTTGAAGCACAAGAGATGGGGGCAGCTGAATTTTACAATCACACTGGGAGCCGCTGAAATTTGAGAGCCCGAAGTCCATCACTGTGCACCACACATCAAAATCAAAGAATCCTGGGACCTCAGTTGTTCTGCAAACCACCACCACCCTGACAAAGCTGCAAAAATCCTGGAATAATTGTTCTGGTCACCTCACCTCAAAAAGCAGTTGCAATAAAGGGTTCAGAAAAGGGCAACCAAAATGTTCAAGCGGCTGGAGCAACTCCCCTGTGAGGAAAAGTTGCAGCCCTTGGGGTTTTTTATTTTTAGAGAAAAGGCAAGTAAGAGGAGATGTGATAAAAGTTATGGAAAAAAGCAGATAGGTAAAGCTAGAACTCATGGACTTACAACAACAACAACAACAACAACAACAACAACAACAACAATTATTTATTATTTATACCCCACCCATCTGACTGGGTTTCCCCAGCCACTCTTGGCGGCTTCCAACAAAATATTAATGATAATAATAATAAAGCGATAAAACATAAAACATTAAAAACTTTGCTTGTAGATAGTAATCTGGCATGGGGTGAAGTTTTCCCTTCACAGACATCCCCCTTCATAGATGGCCGTTCAGTTGTTCCATACCCTTGCCGCTTTGGAAACAGCCTTGTTACTGGAAACAGCCACAGCTCAGTGTGAGAGCAAAATCCCTGGCTGGGAATGTCTCCTGTCTGAGCCTCTGGAGAGCTGCTACAAGTCAGTGCAGACATTAATGAGCTCAACTAAACAATGTTTTTTTTTATAAAAAAAAATGGCATAAGACCGCTTCGTATACTCCTTCATACTGTATTGATTTGCTTTTGTTGTCTTCTGTGTTCACAATTGGTTTGTGTGCCCCCCCCCCCCAGTTGTTGGAAACCACATTGAGATCTTTGGGCAAAAGAAGTGACTTGTCAATGTTATAAATAGATAAGTGCACATTAACCCAGAGGCATCAGGATGCTGACATCAGAAGTCTGTGATGAATATTGGGCAATTACAGATTGATGCCAAAAGGATGGATAATACAGTGGTACCTCGAGGTCCGTTCTTAACCTGAAACTGTTCTTAACCTGAAGCACCACTTTAGCTAATGGGGCCTGCTGCTGCTGCTGCTGTGCCGCCGGAGCACAATTTCTGTTCTCATCCTGAAGCAAAGTTCTTAACCCGAGGTACTATTTCTGGGTTAGCAGGGTCTGTAACCTGAAGCGTATGTAACCCGAGGTACCACTGTATTGGAGAGAATTTATTTTTTTTAAAGCAGAGGTTGAGGAATGGTAAAGGAAACACCAGGAGGGGGCGCCAATGGACAGCAGAAAGAACAGAATGAGGAAAACAAATTACAGTGGTACCTTGGATCCCGAACGCCTTATGAGTCGAATGTTTTGGCTCCTGAACGTGGCAAACCTGGAAGTGAGTGTTTACAAACGTTCTTTGGAACCCGAACGTCCAACGCAACTTCCGTGGCTTCTGATTGGCTGAGGAACTTCCTGCAGCCAATCGGAAGCTGCACCTTGGTTTCTGAACGTTTTGGAAGTTGAACGGACTTCTGGAACGGATTCCGTTCAGCTTCCAAGGTACCACTGTATGGCATCACTGGAGAGAGAATCAAGAATGGAATTCTGTCTGTCTGTCACCTGCCCTTGTCCCAGGGCGGGTTACAGCATTAAAACACAATTTTAAGACTTCCGGGGTGGCGCCATCGGCAATGGCGGACTCCCTCTGAACTGGAGGGACCAGCTCCGCATGAAACGGGTCTTTTCCGCTACGGCGAAGCGGGGACCCTTCTGGAAATCACAGGCGGATGAAGCCTGTGACCATGGGACTCGGCGGGCACCCTTAGCGCCCCCCCAACCCACAAAGGAACCCACAAACGGGCTCCGAAGTGAAGAGGGGGAAGTGGCGCGGTGCTGTGAGTCAATTGCTTTTTCTGCGG